CACAGTTTTATCCAGCAAGGATAATTTTAAAACAAATACATACAACAAATTCCAAAAGAAATAACAGAAAACCCCACACCCTCTGCGTCTCATAATACTCACATAACTTCTGTTTCCATTGATGCTGTTGAACGCTGTCATGTAGGTATAGAGGAAAACCTACCAAGAGAGGGGCAAATGGATCGCAGTTTGGTCTCAAGCATCACAGAATTTAGTAATCGTGAAACAGGAAGAATGGCTACCTGAGGTAAAATCACGGACTTGATCCCTTTTGGTGGCATCATTGACAAAAATACCTTTTAAGAAGAAAGCGGAACACAGTTACAAGTGTTTCTGTGGAGGGAGAACTTGGCGGTAGCAAAGAACTTCCCAGGGGAGACGGAGAATTGAGCCCCACGGAGCTGGGGCAGGAGAGGCTGGTGGTGGGTACAGGGGCTACCAGTTGGTAGACAAGGTTGAGTGAGAGCACCTGCCAAGCACCAAACTAGCAGCTCTAAGGACATCCAGGAGCACACAGCAGGCCGTCTCAAGGGCCTTAGTCCAGCAGGGTGGCTAAGATGTACACATCTGTTAGCTGGGCGTGGTGGCTCACTCTTGTAATCCCAGCACTTTGGGAGGCTGAGGTGGGAGAATCACCTGAGGCCAGGAGTTCTTGACCAGCCTGGCCAGCATGGTGAAATCCTGTCTCTACAAAAAACACAGAAATTAGCCGAGTGTGGTGGTGCGCACCTGTAATCCCAGCTACTCAGGAGGCCAAGGCAGGAGAATCACTTAAATCTGGAAGGTGGAGGTTGCAATGAGCCAAGATCGTGCCACTGCACTCCAGCCTGGGAGACAGAGCAAGACTCTGTCTCAAAAAAAAAAAAAAAGAAAAAAAAGAAGAAGTAGTATATATTTGCTAGGGAAAGCAGACAGGAGCCAGCCTGTGATGTGGACAAGTACCTCCTGGGCTGGGAGTGGTGGCTCACGCCTATAATCCCAGCACTCTGGTAAGCCAAACTGGGAGGATCCCTTGAGCCCAGGAGTTCAAGACCAGCCTGAGCAATGTAGCAAGACTCTGTCTCTGGTAAAAATTAAAAAATTAGCCCCATGGTGGCGAGTACCTGTAGTCCCACCTACTCAGAAGGCTGAAGTAGGGGGATCGATTGAGCCTAGGAGTTTGAGGTTACAGTGAGCTATGATTGTGTCACTGCACTCCAGCCTAGGCAACAGAGCAAGACCGTATTTTACAAAACAAAAAACGGTCCAGGCATGGTGGCTCACGCCTGTAATCCCAGCACTTTGGGAGGCCAAGGTGGGTGGATCACCTGAGGTCAGGACCAGCCTGGCCAACATGGCGAAACCCCGTCTCTACTAAAAATAAAAACACTAGCTGGGCATGGTGGCGGGCGCCTGTAATCCCAGCCACTCAGGAGGCTGAGACAGGAGAATTGCTTGAACACGGGAGGCAGAGGCTGCAGCAAGCTGAGATTGTGCCACTGCACTCTAGCCTAGGCGACAGAGCGAGACTCTGTCTCAGAAAACAAACAAACAAAAAAAACAAAACAAAAAGCACCTTCCGAGGACTAAGGTGGGAAAGCCCCACGGGGACAATGCCAGGTCCCACGGGGACAATGCCAGGTCCCAGGTGAGGGGCTGTGTCAGACGAGGACTTGGTGGCGAGGGGTTTGTGCAGGGAGCGCATCCTAACTCACTGGCCGCTTCTCCAGTGCTCTGCGCATACTTGGTGTTCGGGAAAGGGATGACCTTGCCAAGCTGTGGCCTTCCAGAGGCCCGGATGCCTGACTGGGAGGGTGTGGGGAGGGGGAGGGAGTGGAGACAAGGACATATGAATGGCAGCCACGGGTTATCAGTGGGGGTTCACAACCATCTATCAGGCAGTCATGGGACAGGGGTCTGGAGCTGGAGGGACACAGCTGAAGTTAGGAGGAGAGTGGCCATCTTCCCAAGCTCCTAGTCTCCTAACGGCGAATGTCTGCTTGCTCACCGTGGGCGCCATGAAAGGCAGGAACGCTGGCAGGAGAAGAGAGGAGGTGTCAGTGACCGCAGTTGCCCAGGCAGAGGGGGCCAGAAGGGGACCAGCCACCTGAGCACCTCTTCCCCAGCTTCCACAAGGCACAGATCTCAAAGGACTTTTTCCACTCATTCTTTTCTTTTCTAATAAAATGGTGGGTCAAGGTCTTAGCACTTTGGTAGGCTGGGGCTGGAGGATGGGTTGCGGCCAGGAGTTTGAGACCAGCCTCCATTTTGTAGAGGCAGTGAGACCCCCATCTCCACAAAACATTTAAAGAAGGTTATGGCAGGATGACCCTGTGGTCCCAGCGACTCAGGAGGCTGAGGAGAGGAGGATCCGCTGAGCGTGGGAGTTGGAGGCTGCTTTGAGCTATTATGGTGCTACTGTACTCCAGTCTGGGTAACAGAGTGAGACCCTGTCTCTAAAAATGATAATAATAATAATAAAGTATGTACATAAAATTACTCTAACATGGCTGGGCACGGGGGCTCACGCCTGTAATTCTAGCACTTTGGGAGGCCAAGATGGGCAGATCACAAAGTCAGGAGTTCGAGACCAGCCTGACCAAAGTAGTGAAACCCCGTCTCTACTAAAAATATAAATACAAGCTGGGGATGGTGGTGGGCGCCTGTAATCCTAGCTACTCGGGAGGCTGAGGTTGCAGTGAGCTGAGACTATGCCACAGCACTCCAGCCTGGGTGACAGAGCGAGACTCTGTTTAAAAAAAAAAAAAAGAAAAAAAAAGAAATCCTGCTGGGGGAAAACTAACTGAAGCAAAGCAGGCAGAGTTTTCTTTTTCTTTTTTTTGTTGAGATGGAGTTTCACTCTGTTGCCCAGGCTGGAGTGCAATGGCTCGATCTCAGCTCACTGCAACCTCTGGCTCCCAGGTTCAAGCAATTCTCCTGCCTCAGCCTCCTGAGTAGCTGGCACTATAGGCATGTGCCACCACAATGCCCGGCTAAATTTTTACATTTTTAGTAGAGATGGGATTTCACCATGTTGGCCAGGCTGGTCTCGAACTCCTGACCCCAGGTGATCCGGCAAGCAGAGTTTTCTAAGTGTTAGAAACTACATCTTCCCAACCCACTTCTGAAAATTAGAGCCGACTCACCTGCAGGTCGAAAAAGCTTGGGGATCAGGTTGCTGCTGTCGGGATGCACTGTGGCCTTCAAGAGGAGAGATGCAAGGTTAGATGCAAGAGGAGAGATGCAAAGATGTCTGGTTTTGTTATTTTAGGACACTAAAAATTAGGAAGGGACTGAAACTTACAAGACTCCGCTTCCAAGCTTCTTGTATCTTAAAGGAGAAAAAAGAACAGGTTTGTTTCATTTTAAATATTTTTTAAGAGATAAGGTCTTGCTCTGTCACCCAGCCGGGAGTGCAGTGACACAATCCTCACTCACTGCAGAGCAGCCTCGAACTACTGGGTTCAAGCGATCCTCCCACCTCCCCCTCCTGAGTAGCTGAAACTGCAGGCTCATGCCACCATTCCCAGCTAGAGATGGGGTCTCGCTATACTGCCCAGGCTGGTCTTGCACTCTTGGCATCAAGTCATCCTCCCAAACCATTGAAATTACAGGGGTAAGCCATCACACCCAGCCTTAAAAAAAAAAAAAAAAAAAAAAAAAGGCTTTTAAAGGTGGCTCAGCACCAAAGAATCTCTTTGCCAGTCTCATTTCTGGGACCACCTTTGCTCTATCTTTCAGAAAGTGAAGCCCAGAGCTGTTTTCCACCACATCGACAGAACAAATCAAAATCAATGGATCGTATGAATAAACAAATGAACTAATGGCAAGCAGCGATGAGCCACACAGAGAAACTGACCAGAACATTAAAAAGTCCTGTCTCTACCCTTGGAGAAGACCAACACCTAACTTATGCCTCAGATGAGTCCCCGAATCCGGCTTGCCTCTGGCTCAGAGCAGAGCAGGCCGTGTGCTGACGACACACCGTGCCATAAGCCAAGTTACTTGCAACAGAGCCAAGCTGTCAGCCCAGGGTCCCCAACACATTCTTAGAAAAAGTAAGTTAAATATGTGAGCTCTCCAGAGGCTGCCTTGAGGAACTGGTGTCTGTGAGCTCCAGAAAGCCCCACACACTGCGAGGTAGATAAGGAACCTCGACAGGCTCGTTTGAGCCTATCAGCAGGAACACCGCCTGCAGTGCAGAATGAATTCTGACGTCAGAGACCTGTCTGAATTCTGGAGTTTGCCATGGGCCTCCAGGAATCAGCTGCAGGGAATCCCCACAAATGTCCACTGCATAGGAGGAATCTTGCTGTCTGGTTTATGGGACAAAATTCTAACTACATTTTAAAAACTAACCCAGTTTTGCAAAGCTGGTCCTCTGGGCAGTATATAACAATGACAGCATTAATAGCCAATAGAACAGTGGCTCCCAAGGGAAGGAAAAAAGAAAGAAAAGAGATGGAGAGAGAGATTAATGGCCAAATTCCACCTGACCATGCAGGCAGAACCATCTGAGGGCAACTACACCCAGCCTTCAACCAGCCAGACCTGGGCACACGGAACATACCCTTTGGTCCTCCGAGGCGGGGTTGGAAGCATCTTCATTTGTGCACAATAGTTGCCTCGAGTTTTCTATACTTTCCTAAAATTAGACATCAAGAAATCAAGTAATGATCTCAAATTGTTCAGGTTTATCCCCAGATGTAGGAATCACCAGCTCACTCACTAGCATGCACTGGACTTCAACTGCATGCCTGATTTCAAGCCACAAGGTGCCCTAGGCTCTCTAGCCATTAGGATAGCCCTGAGTGCCATTCAGATTTACGCCTTCCTCTTCCTAGATGCTCCAGCAGCTGCCCGCAATCGTGCTGTCACCTCCCCCACTCTCTGATGTCAACTGTCCCACTGAATGGTTACCACCATCCCCTGGCTATGCATGTCAGAAACCCGGAAGTCTTTCTCCCTCACCCACTTCCACGTCTAATCAGTTCAGTCTTACCTCTTTTTCTTTCTTTATTTTCTTATTTTTTTTAAGAGACAGAGTCTCACTCTGTTGCCCAGGCTGGAGTGCAGTGGTGTGATCACAGCTCACTGCAGCCTCGAACTCCTGGGCTTAAGTGATCCTCTTGCCTCAGCCTCCCAATTAGTCATGACTACAGGCACAACCCACTACACCTGGCTAACTTTATATTTTTATTTGTACAGATAGGGTCTCGCTATATTGCCCAGGCTGGTCTCAAATTCTTATTCTCGAGAGATCCTACCATCTCAGATTCCCAAAGTGCTGGGATTATAGACACGAGCCAGCCTCCATTTCTTAATTTGAGAAAAAATAATTAAATACAAAAATTACAAAGAATGGCTACACACTGTAATCCCCTCACCCAGAATTAACAACTGTAAACATCTGGTTATATTTGCTTCTAATTTTATTACATTTTCTTTCTTTCTTTTTTTTTTTAAAAGATGGAATTTCACTGTTGTCGCCCAGGATGTGACCAGTTTAGCCAGTCTGTCCTCCATCATGTGGAAGATTTGCTTCTCTCTGAATCACCAGCACCCGGCCTGGGCCTGATATTACCTGTTAAACAAATGTACGCTTTTCTTTTTCTTCTTTTTTTTTTTTTTGGATGCAGTTTTGCTCTTTTTGCCCAGGTTGGAGTGCAGTGGCGCGGTCTCCGCTTACTGCAACCTCCGCCTCCTGGGTTCAAGTGATTCTCCTGCCTCAGCCTTCCAAATAGCTGGGATTACAGGCACCTGCCACCACACCCAGCTAATGTTTGTATTTTTAGTAGAGATGATGGGGTTTCACCATGTTGGCTAGGCTGGTCTTGAACTCCTGACCTCAGGTGATCCATGTGCCTCGGCCTCCCAAAGTGCTGGGATTAAAGGCATGAGGCATGGCACATGGTCAGATGTATGCTTTTCTTTACCCCTTCCAATCTGACAAGCTCATTCAGAAGGAATACACACAATAATATATGCAGATTGTTATTTCAACTGCTTTTAAAAGGGACATGTGGGCTGGGCCTGAGGTCAGGAGTTGGAGACCAGCCTGACCAACACGGAGAAACCTTGTCTCTACTAAAAATACAAAATTAGCCGGGCATGGTGGCGCATGCCTGTAATCCCAGCTACTCTGGAGGCTGAGGCAGGAGAATCGCTTGAACGTGGGAGGCAGAGGTTCCTGTGAGCTGAGATGGTGCCATTGCACTCCAGCCTGGGCAACAAGAGCAAAACTCCGTCTGAAAAAAAAAAAAAAAAGGGACACGCGGTCTTTAAGTTTCAAAATAAAATGTGAAATTCATTAGCTCTGAAGACAATACTTACAACTGAAATGAACACATTTGTAGGATCTAATAATTCTGTCCATTGAAGAAATCGTCGAATAAAGGACTTATGAGGGAGAAAAGCAACAGAGAGGTTAATAGCAGCAGAAAAATAAAGACATAGTAGTAACAGTTGGCTTTTTTTTTTTTTTTTTTTTTTTGAGAACCTGCCAGGGTCTGTGATCTGCCTTTTACTGGCATCAACTCCTGGGATCCTCCCAACCTCTCCATTCTCCAGGTGAGGAAGCTGAGGCTTAGAGGGACTCATGAATGTACTCAAGGCAACACAGCCAGTAAATGATTCAGAAGTCTCTGCCCTTAACTGCTCAGTATCAATTGCCCTTGAGGGCGAAAATCCCAGACTTTGGGGTTCAAATGGTCCTATGTTCATATCTCATATGACCTCGAAGCAACGGCCTAGAAGATCTCAGAATCTGTGGCCTCACTCTCTGCTTGCTATAAGGCTTCACTCCAGTGAAAAAGGATGGACGCCCCATTAAGGGCTCAATGGTGCAGCTGGGGTCACACTAGGTAAACGAGGTTTGCTCCAGCAAACCCCAAACTTTGTAGTGGTTCTGGCTTTAAGCCCTGGTTCTGCTGGAGCAACCGGAGCTCACTGTCCCTTCTCAATTTCCCCACCTAAAAAAACAGGGCTGGACCCCACTTTAGGAGAGGCCTAAAAGAGAACCCTGTAAAGCCCTGCTCCCTGATTCGCCACATGCGGCTAAACCCAGATGTGCTGCGAGTGTAACAAACGCTGGATTGGAAGACTTCGCACCAAAAAAACGAGTAAGATATCTCAGGAATGTTTTGTACTGATTACATGTTGAAACGTTAGTTTTTTGCACCTGCTGGGCTAAATGTACTGTATTGTTAAAAATTTCACCTTTTCTTTTTATCTTGTTTAACGTGGCTACTGGAAAATGTTTAATTGCCTGTAAGGCTCACATCTTATTTCTATTGGACGGTGCTGCCCTAGACGCCGCAGGGAGGTGAGTCCTGCTTATTTCCTGTCCAAGGGTGCCTTCCCAAAGCCTCGGGGCTCTCACCGAGAGTGGCTGGGCTTACCAAGGTGGGAGGGCCTGTTTCTCCCCAATCTGTTGCTCAGCCACAGCTCAGGGAGTAGGGAGCAGCCACCTGCGCGAACTGGGCCCCTCCGAGAGGGCGATCTGGAGGATGACGTTGTGGTCATGGGCAGCTTGGGTTTCCCCTGCGTCCCCTGCGTCCCCTCCCGCGCCCTAAGGGGTGAAGGCCGGTGGTGCGCGTACCCCGCACAACTCGGGAACGAGGAAACGGAGACGGGGGGCGCCCACGTGGCCTGGCCAAGGTCACCGGGGCCAGCCCGACACCACGCG